GGTCTGCCCACCAGCCTTCCTCGTGGCTGCTCCCCTTCCTTGGGCTCTGGCCCAGCCACAGGGAGAGAAGAGCTTCCTCCATTTGAGAGCCATGCCCAGGTCTGTTCCAGAAAGACGCTTCAGACTCAACAGACTAAACCCATCATCTTTACCCCTCCTCCCCTCCGTCTCTCCTTTCTCCCCTGGCTCTGTTGCCTATTTAGTCGCTGCCAGAAACAATTCCCTCTCTTCATCTCCCACATCCTGGAGGTTCTCCCTCCTCTGATATCTCTGGACTGCTTTTCTTCCCCATCTCCCTCCCACCTCACCTGGGCCCTCCTCATGTCCCACCTGAGCCTGCCAGCTAGCCTCCATGCCTCTGTATTTGTGGGACCAGATCCGCATGTCACTCTCATGTTTAAAACTTTCTCTGGACCCCTCATCCCACAAGAGAAAGTCCAGACCCTCATTCTGGACCACGAGGCCTTTCACAGACTGCCTTTCAATTCAATTCAGCAAACAGCCGATGGTGCCTTCCAGGTGCTGGGACCAAACCAGAGATAGGAAATCAAAGGATCTCAGCTCACAGGAGAGACAGAGGAGTGAACACGTGATTGATGCAGTGTAATGGGCTTGGTAGAATCCCAGGAAGCCTTGGACTCAACCAGTTCGTGGTCACTCCTGCAGGGAATTCATGCAGAGCCAGGGCTACAGGTACATCTCCAGCGCAGGTCCGGGGCTCTTTGCATTACTCAAGGCAGCCTGGCCAAAATGACCTTAGTCTTGTGCAACAGAATGAAACAAAACTAAAAGACCCAAGACGATCCATGATTAAGATATGAATTAAGCATTAAAATACAAAACCCGTAAAAGTTACTACAGAGACACTAAATCACAGTGAAACAAGATCGTTTAAATAAGATGGAAACACAGGGAGATGGACCACACTCAAGCACAGCCCTGATGAAAGCCTGTGACTCATCCACTATGGTCAAGTAACACAAAACAGATAACAAGTTACTTGCAAATGCTAATAGTACTCCTTGGACAGGGGCAAACATGGATATCTGTGCTTTTTTATTCTGATATCTATGAAAAACTAGAAGAAAATTATTTTTTAAAAATATCATTAAAAAATGCACATGCTGAAGTCTTAAGTGTATTTTAAAGAACCAAGAAACTAAATTTGAGAAGACATTAAGTGACTTGTAAGACAATGCCAAAAGGAGATTTGGGAAGGTGTCATCTCAAAATTAAGGCAAAGAACATCAGAGGAAACGAAGATCATAAGAGATTATCTAGTATATTCTGTTTTCAGGACACAGCATGGCCTTCAATCCAAGATATAGTCCATGTTTGTGGGACGGTGATTTTAAACTGCAGACTGTGAGCAGGTCAATAAATCAATTTAGTGGGTCATGGCAGTCAATTTCTTCTTAAGTGAAAGGTAATAGAATGTAATAGAAAATGCCAGGTGCATCAGAGGGAAGAGGGGGTGGGGGCTTGGTGGAGGTGGGCAAATGGGGGGGAAATGGGGACATCTGTAATACTGTCTACAATAAAAATAAAATTATATGAAAGATAAGTACTGAGTTTTATGTACAATGGTGTGTGCACGTATTTAGCAGTTCATGATGTAATAAACATTTCCTATGGTGAGTTGCAGTCAAAATTTGAAAAACACTCTTAGAACACTTTTATTAGAAGGAGTTCTTTTTAAACACATACTAAACAGGCTCAGTTATGAATAGTGACCTTTCTCCTCATTTTTGGAGCCTGTGCTAAAATTAAACAGAGATTGGGGGTGGAATATCAGAACTGAAAGGAGGCAACAATTAGCAGAATGTAAATGAGTGAACTGATAACAAGAGGCTAGAGACCGAACAGATGAGAAAAATGAGCTCTGGGCCTTTTTTAAAGACTCCTTGTGATAACTAAAGATGACCTGGCTATTTCTCTTCCTCACTGGAGCACCAGAGACACAGTAGCTGCTCAATAATTACTTGTCCAAAGCCCCTCTAGAAGCACCTGCATTCTCTCGGTGATAACACTTATCAAGCAGTGTGATTGTTGCTTTTTAAAATAACAATCAGTCTCCTTCACGGAAACTCCTTGAAGGCTGGGCGAATGTTTGGTCCACAGCTGCATCCCCACCCCCATGACAGTGTCTGGCAAGTGTTCAATAAATGTTGGCTGGATTGAACTGAAGGGCATCGAAGGGCAATAAAGATCTAGTTCTCATATCCATCTGATGCTTGGACCCCTTTTGCAAGTCAAAATGATTTCAATTTACTGAGCAAAATATATTCTAATTAGAAAAAAACAGCTCTAAACTTAAGTTTCCACAGAGCAAATAGCTTAGAATCCCTTATGTGTCTTGGCCCAGAGGTCAGTTTGACTCAAAGAAGTTGTATTGCCCTTTTATAGAATCAGGGCTTCTTGGAATGTCCTGGCTCCTGGGGACACACGGAAGATGTTTTTTCCAGTCTGGACAGCTTGAGGGCAACAACCAGTTTGAACCCGTAGCTGCTGAGCTATCTCAAGAGGTCCCATCCACACTGCTAACGGGAGCAGGCAGGGTGCTCAGGAAGGGCCGAGGCGGAGGCTGGATTTAGAGAAGCAGTCAATTGACCAAGTAGATCAACACTCATCAAGCCCCAGTACTTCCCCATAAGCAGCCCAGGCTGAGGGGAATGGGACATGGCTTGGACGTGGTCTTTTGCCTTTCTTGCTCCTCTGCGGCTCTGTCATACGTCCATGCCTAGGTGTTCATCCCCAACTCCTAAGAGTGCCGCTGTTTAGGGTACATCAGTGAGGGTGCCCTGAGCATGAGCACATAGGGCGGACAGTATTCCCTGGAAAGGCATGTGGTGAGTTAACCGTGGGGGGATGGGTGAAAGATGCCCTACACCAAAGCACCAATTCAAATTCAAAGGGGACCCTACTGGACACTAGGTACTCTTCTTCTCGGGCAAACACCCCGGTTGCTGTTACCAATGGAAAGTCCCCTTTATCAAGGACACTAAGTGATGGCAGGGATAAGTGTCATTTCCCTGCAGCTACAGTAAAGCAACAGCTGTACAGCTCATGGGTTCTGTTCCTTACACACAGTCACATCTCCCGTCTGTGTGGATGAGAAAGGCAAGGACCAGAATAACTCTGTCTGTAGAGTTCAGTGGACGCCAGAAGTCCAGAACACTTATTTCAGCAGACGGTGTCAGCCTCCGCCCCCACCCAGGCTCCATCCCGGTCTCCAGCACGCGCGGAAGGAATAGAAATCGTCCTTGGTTATTAACCTCAGCAGAATGTAACCAAGAGGGCGAGTTCCCTTGGGGCCGGGTGGCAGGAGGAGGGGTGCATACTCATGCACTGGAAGGTCAAGCAGGAGCAAAGTTTGGGCTTTTTTTAAAAACACTATCTACGTCTAGATACTTAGTTTGAATTTCAATTCTAACTTCAGTGTAACTTAATATCTCCCTGCCTCAGATTCCTAAAACATCATATGTAAAAGATAAAAATATACGTCTACAGCGTTTAGCAGCATCTGGCAACTTAATGGACCAGCAAACTACACAAATTATCATTAGGATTGAGTTATTGCAAAATGGATTGACAGAGGTTTTGGAGTTAGAGGGACTCCAGGATGCTGGCTACGTGGGCCTCATCAGCTGCGAGGTCTTGGGAGAGTTTCCTAACCTCTCTGAGCTTTCATTGTCTCATATACAAAATGGGGATCATACAATCACTTCATAGGGATACACTCAAGATTCATTGAGAATCTGTAGGTGAAATGCCTGGTGCAGAATAGATGACCAGCTCTTATTATGATGTCCTGCCCACTCAAAGAGTAGACATGCCCCAGGCAAAAGCTGCTCTGTAGCTCCCTCCGGCAATCTGATGAATCTCTCAAAGGCGACTGATGTTCAACATGCAAAATAACAACGTGTCCCTCACCCCTGGTCTTCTCTCACATTCCCTGCAACAGTGTATATCAGTCCTGGCTGGTTTTGCTCAGTGGTTAGAGCGTTGGCCAGAGCACTGAAGGGTCCTGGGTTTGATTCCAACCAAGGGCATATACTTCAGTTGCACTCAATCCCCTGCCCCGGTCGGGGCATGTGCAGGAGGCAATCAATCGATGTGTCTCTCTCACATCGATGTTTCTCTCTCTCTCCCTTCCATTCTCTCTGAAAAGCAATGGAAAAAATATCCTCAAGTGAGGATTAGAAAAAAACAAAAGAACAGGGTATAAGAGCAGAGCAGCTTCCCTGTTACCCTTGTGAGAAACCCCACCTTCCTCACTGACTCCTCTCCCCTGACAGTAGATCCTTCAACAAGTCCTGTTGAGTCTACTTTTAAAATACGTCACTTCATTTGCTTCTCTGATTTGCTCACCCCCAATTTGCCTCCTAGATAACGTGTCTCCAGCCTCACCTACCCATCCCAGCCTTGTCCCTTCGATCCACTCTCCAAGCTGCAACTACAGCCACTTATCTAAAAGCATAAATCTGACTGAGCCTATCCCCTGCTTTAAACTAGTCTTTGGCACACACAGTTCTTCAAATGAATCTTGTTCTCTCTCTGCAGGGGTTTCACACATGGTCCCCCCTTTGCTTAGAATACTCCTGTGTCCCTTCTCTTCTCCATGTTAACTCACTCTCAACCTTTATTTTTCAGCTTAGGCACATCATTTCTTCCAAGGAGCCCTCTCCACACTCAAATACTGGGTTAGATGCCCCTTCCACTCTATGCAAATGTTTGCTTATTTGTTCAGCTTCCCCCAGTAGACTGGGCGTCTCTAGGGTGTAAAACCCATTTTTGTCATTGCAATACCCCAAGTGCCTCGGACTGGGACTGCCAAGAACGAGGCACTCAAATATTTGTTTGTTGGATAGATGCATAGATGCTAAACGAACAGTTGGCCCTGCCCTGCGGTGCAATCTCTGATTGAAGGCCGCAGTGGTGTTGAGCTGCCCAGTAGCTAAGCAGCAGAGTTTCCTTCCAGCCAAGGGAACATCACCTACCTAGGATGGCCACCACCTCGTCATCCTGAATCACCTCCAGGGAGCCGGAGACCACGAAGCAGAGGCTGTCCACGCTCTCTCCAGCGTGGTAGATGAGGTCCCCCGGGGCACAGTGCACCGTCTGGAACTCCATGGCCAGGGCCCGCAGGCAGCCGTCGCTGGCCAGCCGGAAAGCAGGGTGCTCCTTGAACACCTTGCGGTTCAGGTGCACGCAGATGTCGGCTCTCATGTCCTTGGGGCAGATCTGCAGGACCTGGCCGGGCACGGGAAGGGAAGAAACAGTGTCAGGGTCCTCTTCATCCTGGCCTCCAGCCCACTGCCCCGCAACACCTGGGGGCAGAAGCCACCCCCACTAGGCTAGACTGCAAGCAAGGCGCTGGTGGACACGACAGTCACAGTGCCATCCTCATGGTGTTTACTCTCTTTGGGAGGCTGTGAACACGAAAATCTGTGTTCGGTGCTCAGAAGAGGGTCCCGATAGTAGGAGGGCTGGAAGCATGTGGAACTCTTTTTTTTTTTAATTTATCTTTATTGTTGAAAGTATTACAGATGTCTCCCCCATTTCCCTCCAATGATCCCCTCCTAATGTGGGACTCTTTAGGTAGCTGGGGAAGGCCTCTCTGAGAAGGTGACATTTATGCCTACACCTTCATAATGTGTCAGAGGGAGCCGTGTGAAGGAAGAACATTCCAGAATAATAACAAAGGCTGTGAAGAGACCTGAGCAATAGCCAATGTGAATGAGGGGAAAAGGGTAGGAGATAAGTTTCAGGAGGTCACCAAGCAGGAGGGCATGTAGAGATGTTTTGGTATGAAAAGCCTTTGATTTATCCTGAGTGTGATGGGGACACATTGGAGGACATTAAGCCGGGAAGTGACAGGACCTGACCGATATTTTAGAGGGTCATTGCAGCTACAGAGTGGAGTTAGAGGGTCCTGACTTTGGAGAGCGAGAATGGAGCCAAGGAATCAAGTTGAGGAAGGTTCGCTAGACTGAGGGACTTGGGCCCTCCTCCCTCCTCCTCTGTATGGAAACCAACACCAATATGGTTCCAGAAGAGACCACAAGACAATTAAAACTCCCCCTCCTGCTGGGAAGGTGGTGCCTCACTCTATCCGCCTGTACTCTGCCCAGAACCACATCTTAAAATACAAGCCTAGCCCCCGAAACCGCTTGGGGAGACTCACTCCTTATCTGAGTGTGTGCTTCCACTTTAATAAAACCTCTGTGCTTTACTGAATCTTTCTGTCTCGTTCCTGAATTCTTTCTTGCATGGAGACAAGAACCTAGACGCTGCCGCTGGGCTGAGGCCTCCCTTGGCTTCCCTGTGAGCCTCAGACATCAAAGTCAGGTCACTCCTGCAGGTGTCCAGGTGAGTGCTTAGGGGAATTGGGCTGGAATGCTGGCAGTGGAGCCAGTGAGAAATGATCGTACTCAGAATATATTTTGAAGATAGAGTTGACGTGATCTACAGATGGACGGAATATGGGTGTGATTTAAAGAAAGATAGAGAGTAATATTTACTAAGCACTTACTATGTCCCAGGTATTGCTAAGCACTTTAGAGTGTGTCATTCATTTCATACTTATTTATAGAGCATCTTATTATATGCCAGGAATCTTTCTAGGCTCTGAGAAGGTAGCAGAGAATAAAGTAGGAAAAAAATCCCTGCCCTGGCATAACTTGACATCTAGTGGGAGGAGACAAATAATAAACAAAATAAGTAAAATTTAGTAGTAAGTGCTAAAGAGAATAGTAAAGAAGGAAGGGAAAGTCAGGGAGGGGTGTGATGTTACATTTTCGAGTGTTACCTGCATTGGCTAATTTAATCCCCACATAAACCCTAGGAAGTAAGTGCTATTATTGGTCTGGGATGCTAACCACTTTCTGTATTACGTGGCTGCCCCAAACACATGGGCTCGTGATTTGGTTCTCAGCATTTAGGAAATCAAGGCAACATGGTAACTATAAGAGACCATGTAGGGTTCATCTTACAAGGAAATGACAGTTTTCTCAGCCTTTTCTAGGGGCAGAAATATTTCCTCAGACAAAATTTTTGCAAGAAACCATTGCACAGCCCCTTCCACATTAAGCAACGCAAGAGTCCAAGTGGACTTTTTCAGAGAAATTTGGAGTGTTCCTAAAATAATCCTTTCTCCCATCCTAGCCTATGAACAAAGCTGGGGGCACAAAATCCACCATGCCCAGTGAGGACATTTCTTTCCCATCCCTGCTTCTCTGTCTTAGCAGGAGCCATCTGCCTCTGTGTCTGCAGCTCACCGTGGAATCTGGAATCCCTCAGCCTCCTTCAAAACCCAGCTCCAACCTCACCTTGCCCGGGACAGCTTCGCTCAGATCCCACCCCTCTCGGGTGCCCCTGTGCTCTGCGCGGAGGCCCTGGAAAGACGGCACCAGTTGAAATCCCACCTCCTTCCTCTCCAAGTGACTTAGCTGCTCTACACTTGGGCGTCTCCTGCAAAATGCACACAGCTACCACTGGCTGATGAAGAGTGAATGAAATGGCATCCACCAGCACACTTCCCGGGACAGTACCTGGCCCCAGGAAGGGACTCAGTGGATGCCAGTCCCCTCCCTTTGTGTGCCCCTGTGTTCTCGCTCTGGGGCTGCAGGATGCTGAGGCGGTCAGCATGTTCTCCGGGAGAGGGGATGGAGGACTGGCCGAGACGGGAAAACTCAGGCTGCCGGTGCTTGGGCAGAGTGCTGGCTAATGCTTTCCTCTTTAAAGCTCGTTACAACAAGACTTCTGTAGAAATGTGGATTTAATTTGGATCTTCCTCTCTCCAAACAGAACACAAGGGATTGCAGAATGCTACATGTCATGTCAAAACTGTGCCCAGTGGTTTAAAACCAAGATTTAGTCTTTGAAGTCCACCTTTAAATATTTGGTTTCCCCTGGGCTGGACTTTGCTGGCAGAGGCTGTCAGTGAACGAAGCCTTGGCACAGTGACAGAGTTTTATCCCTGGGCATCGTTCCCGGAGCCGCTGGGAAGCACGCGTGCAGAGGAGAGGGAACCTGGAGCAGAGAGGCTGCAGACCGGCTCAGCCATCGGGCACCCCCACCATTCTCCTGTTGGCTCCACACTGGGAGGGGTGGGGGATCCTGAATTCCTGTCTCTGAGAGAGGTCCTGAAATGGGCCACCTTCCCTTCTACTTGGTTCTGAGGAAAGACTATCCCAGCTGGTCCTTGGGGCCTCAAGGGCCACAGGGAGATATCACCATGGAGGCTCCTGGAGCCTCCCCAGACTGGGCAGGACAGGAGCATGGCCGAGAGGACGGGCTTTTGGGGCAGGCAGACCTGGATTCAATTCCTGGCCTTAACACTTAGTAGCCATGCAAACTTGAAGCAACACTTAGCTTTTCCCCCAGACTTCATTTTTGAACTTGAGCTCAGAGGTCTCCTGAGGGCCCCGAGCCGGCACACGTGGGCTCAGTGTACGTGGGCTCTCATTTCTGATGTGCTCACGGCACAGGGCAGTGGGTCAGCTGAGGGAGGCTTTGAAGTCCAGAAGGTCAGAGCCCAAAGGGCCTTAGAGGTCGGCCTTAGTGTTAAAAGTCATCTAGCTTCCAGGTGTCACAGACTCAGAAGGACAAGTGACATGCTCAACGTCACTAGCCAAATACTGGTAAACTGAATGAGCCCAGCACTGCCACCCTCCCACCACACACACACACACACACACCCCTACACATGCCTCGGCTGCCCTGGTCATCACTGACCACTCTGACCCAGCATGGAGGAGAGGGGACCCATGGAGAGGCTGGGTCCCTGGGACTGGTCCTCTCCACAGAGCGGCCGGCCAGGGAGAGTGGCCGCCCCAGGCCAGGCTGGGCTCTGCAGTGAGCTGCTACAGTGTCCCATCTTCACTCAGATCTGAACCTGGGGCAGATCCCAAAGCCCTGCGGGGACAGGAGGCTACAGGGAGGGGAAGGAAGCGTGAATGCTGACAGTGCTGTCTCCCAGGCAGCGACCAGCCCAGCCCAGCCCAGCCCAGCCCAGCCCAGCCCTGCATGAGGGCGGTGAAGGGGCTTTTCCCACAAGCAGCTTTGCAAAGGCATCCTGGCCCCTGGGAAAAGGAGACCCAGGGCCGAGATCAACATTCCTTTCTGCTCCGGCAGCTCCCAGGCACCCACAGAACCCACGGCCTTGTTGAGAGAGCAGAGCAAACAACAGGCACAGCTGGGACAGGTGACCGGCAAAGCCGGGGACTAATCCTGCCCGACCGATGTCTTGCTGTCTGAGAAATGCGGGCAACTCTGTTTGCACTTGTCCGTCTTCCCTCCACTACATGTTTTAAATTTAAAAAAAAAGAGTAGCCCTGGCCAGGTGGCTCAGTTGGTTGGAGCATCACCTTGTACACCAAAAGGCTGTGGGTTCGATTCCTGGTTAGGGCACAGACCTGGGTTGTGGTTCGATCCCCGGTCTGGGTGCATACCCGAGGCAACCAATTGATGTTTCTCTCTCACATTGTTTCTCACTCTCTCTGTGTTCCTTCCTCTCCCTCTAAAATCAATAAACACATATCCTCCGGTGAGGACTTTTTTTTTTTTAAAGGAGTAATAGTAGGAAAAGCACAAACTTTGAAGTCAGACAAACTAGGTTCACATCCTGGCTTTGCCATCCTTAACTCTGCGACCAGAGGCCGCTAATAAAATTAGCCGGGCCTCTGTGCCCTTACCCCTTTCAAGGAAAAGCAGCAGGGTGGAGCCCGAGTGAAGCGAGGATCCAGAGCCCACAGGAAGCGTCTGTGCTTAACGCACGTTCACGTCACGGCAGCTGGTGCCGCAGTGTCACTGTTACGCTGCTGCTGTGATCGTGGCAGATGTTCAGCAAAAACCAAAGTACCGCTCCTTTTAAGTTGGAACCAGTTAAGTTTAGTTCAACTTTCCTTTTAAACGGTCAACTCTCAACCGACTGTTCCAAGGGAGGAAGGCAAATGCTCGGGCGCGGATTTAAATAGAAAGAAGAGTAATAGTAGCAAAAGTGATAGTAGGAATGAAATACCAAAAGTTTCAGTAAACATAGGATCAGTAGCAGTGCTGTGCCATCTTGTGCCATCCTAGCCTGAGGCAAAAAGAAAATCAGTGATACTGACGACCGCACCCTGGGTGGCCTGGATTTTTGTCATCATACGAATTTGGGAAATTCTGCCCTGGACACATAAGACTTAAAGTCCCTCTTCTCTCAAGAAGACACACCCTGCCTTTCCAATTTCTTAAATAATGGCTCTTAATTGCTAGTCTTTGAGCAAGGTTGATCTGGAAGCTGTCAAACTCTCTGGAGGTAGGACCTGGAAACCCAAAACTACCCAGGTGAATTCTGAGGCACAGCCAGGTTGGACAACTCCTGCCCTAGGAGAGCCCCAGGTCCCCCGGGGAAAGCTGGCAGACAGGGGGCTTATCTGAGCTCGTTGCCCTCCTCACCTTCTCTGTGTCAATGCCTCTGGACATGGACCAGGTGGACACAATATAATCCATGACGCGCTCACTCAGCCCCTTTGGCACCTGGTAGAGCTTCAGGAAGTCCCGAACGCTGTTGAGCATCTCATGGTACCTGTTGGTGTTGGCGTACATCTGCTGGAAAATGGTTGTCACATTCCCGAAGATGGTGGCATAAAGTAGTGCTAGAGGCAGGAAGGGAAGAAACAACACATGAGTGGTCCCAGAACCAGGGCCCAAGAATGCCCGCCTTCCCCAGAGCAGGCCAACGGCTGGTGCTGTCCTCCTGATTTCCCAGGAGAACCTCACCCCAGGAGCCTCTGGGACTGGACGCCCAAAAAGAGACTCCTAACACCAGACCAGGAGGACAAGGCCAGGGTGGACAGGAGCTGACACGACCGGGGCCAGAGCTATGATTCAGAGAGCAACGGGGGATGGGCCCAGTGGGGCTGCTTCATTTGTAAAGCCCCATAAAGTCTGAGCTATGCCTGAGGCCACCAATCAAATGTGCTCCTATGTGCTCCGTATGAGCCCAAACCCAAACCTATCGGCAAGTGATCTTTATCAAACCTTGCCATGTGCCAACACTATGCTGCCTGCCAGGGACAGGGGGGCAAATGAGACACTCAGTCCCGGCCTTACACAGCGAACAGTGTAGCGGAGGGACAGACCTGGAATGCGTAATCACAAATAAATAGGTAAATAATAGCAAGAGTGCCGAGAGCGATAAAGGATGTTCTCTCTTTGCTTTGAGCTTGTTGTTCAAGTGCATGTTAATACCACAATCCACTTCGCTGTCATGTGACTCCTGGGGGGAAAGTGTGGCTTTGATAAGGTGAGAATAAAATTAGATCCCCTCTGAGATGTAGCAAGAACATGCTCTGTGCTCCCATTGCTCCCCCACGTTAGTGTCACAAAGGAGGGCTGTTATGTCATCACAAAACCCCACCTTCCACCTCTACTTTCCATCTGCCTTTGAATGCTAAACTCAAGTGCCAACACTTCCAGGAAACCTCCCCACCAGGTGACCATGACTCCCAGGCATGCCCACAGAGCTCATATTATACACATGCTTCCCAGGTGCCATGTGCCAAGCACTATGGTACCTGCCAGGGACAGGAGGGCATACGAGACACTCAGTCCTGGCCCTACACAGCAAACAATAAGCTCAAAGCTCCACCTTCCCATTCCCAAGCGACCGCTGATGTTTTCTGACACCATAGATTAGCTTGCATTTTCAATGATTTTATATCAAGGGAATCATACAGTATATACTTTTTAAAAACATCTTTATTGAGATATAACTCATATACCATAAATACATCCATTAAGATATGCAAGTCAATGGCTTCTGGTATATTTACAGAGTTGCAGAACCATCGCTACATCTAAGTTTAGAATATTTTCATCCCCCTCAAAGAAACCCAGTAGCCATTATCAGTCATTCCCCACCTCCCCATCCCTCACCCCCATCCCTTAGGCAACCAGTTTCCATCTCTATAGATTTGTCTATTCTGGACATTTCAGATAAATTAAATCATACAATATGTTGCCTTCTGTGGCTAGCTTCTTTCATTTAACACAATGATTTCAAGATATATCCTTTTATTGTTATTGATATATCCTATCCATTGTATGGATCTACCACTTTTCACTTTTCCATTTATCAATTCATGGGTATTTGGGTCATTTCCACTTTTTGGCTATTATAAGCAATGCTGTTATAACACTCATGTACAAGTTTTTGTATGAATGTATTTTTATTTCTCTTGGGTATATACCTAGGAATGGAGTTGCTGGGTCATATGGTAACTATGTTTAACATTTTGGGGAACTGCCAAACTGTTTTCCAAAGTAGCTGCACCACTTTGCATTCTCACCAAAGGTGTATAAGGGTTCCCAGTGTCTCCAACACCCTATCAACACTTGTTATTATCTGTTTTTTCAAAATTATTAGTGCCATCCTAATAAGTGCGATCTGTTATCTCACTGTAGTTTTGATTTGCATTTCCCTGATGGCTAAAGATGTTAATTAAGCATCTTTTCATGTGCTTATTGGCCATTCATATATCTTCTTTGGAGAAATGTTCACTCATCTTTTGGGTTGTTTGTCTTTTTATTATTGAATTATAAGTGTTCTTTATATATTCTGGATATAACCCCTTTATCAGATATATGATTTGCAAATATTTTCTCAAATCATGTGGGTTGTTTTTTCACTTTCTTGATGGTATCGTTTGCAGCATAAAAGTTTTTAGTTTTCAAGTAGTCCAATTTATCTATATTTTTTTTGTACTTTTTTGACTGGTTTCCTTCATTCAGCATAATTATTTTAAGATTCATCCATGTTATTGCATGTATCAACAATAGCTCATTCCTCTTTTTAGGAAAGAAAAGTTTTATGTTGAAATAATTATAAATTCACAGGAAGCTGTAAAGATTGAGTACAGCGAGATTCTGTATACTCCTCAGCCCGTTTCCCCATGGCTTAAATCTTACATAACAAGGGTACAATATCAAAACTGGAAGACTTACGTTGCTATAAAGTATGAGTATAATTCTGTGTCATTTTATCACTTGTGTAGATTCATGTAACCAGCACCATGTTCAAAATACAGAACTGTTCTATTGTCACAGAGACCTCCCTTGTGCTACTCACACTCCCCCAGAAATCACAAATCTCTTCTTTTTTATAATAATGTCATTTCAAGAATGTCCTATAAATGGAATCATATAGTATGTGATCTTTTGAGACTGGCTTTTTCTACTTAGCAAAATATCCCTGAGATCCACCTACCGTGCTGCATATATCAATAGTTCATTCCTTTTTACTGATGAATACTATCCCACAGTATGGATACATCACATCATTTCCTTCAAATAATCTTACTCAGGCTTAGCTGACAGACTAAAGGAGGGAAAAAAAAAAAGAGAGAGAGAAAGGCAAGGATAGGAAATCTTCATTTAGTCTGCCTGGCAGTGCTGGGTATGGCTGCCTGAAAAGCCGAGGCCACAAATCCACCTGAAGAGCATTGTAAACAGGATCAGAAAGTGCCACCAGCTCTGGAAAGGTACTAAGGAGTGGTGTCAATCTGAACAAAAGGAGGCAGATGAAAAGCTGTAGTCAATGCCTGAATAAAGCAGACGCCAGCTCTTCTAAGCTCATAAATGCCCTCATACACACCGAGGGGGCTAAGCACCAGCATCTGGGCCTGGGCAGCTGCCCAGTTCCCAGTCAGCCGGACCCCAGCCCAGTAAGCCTGTACAGCAGCCCTGCCTCAGCTCTGTCTTCTGGTCTGCAATCAACCAGCCGTCACGCAAGAAGAGCAGAGGTGCTTTTCTCAGGACAGCTCCCAGAAAGTTAATTTAATCTTGAATATAAAAAAAAAAAAAAATAGTTACACCAAATCAATACAGAAAGAATAGCTCTCTTGATAATGATCTGAGAACCAGGAGCAGGTCTGAGACTCTTATGTTCTGGTCGCAGCTAAGCCAGTGATGCCACATCCGTCATTTATGGCCCAGGACTCCCATCCCAGCTTGGTCAGAGGCATTCTGGAAGGTCAAGGGTCCTCAGGGGGGCTTTATTCAATTATTATTACAAGTATGAAATTTTATTATTATTAGAAATGGATAATTCTGCTCTCAATACCCCTACTCTAATTTTATATGAAGTGGGGTTGTGTTTTTCATGTATACATGTTATTTATTGATATCTTATATACAAAGCATTATGCCCTTAAATATGCTCTACCTGGGAGAGCAGATGTGTAAGTCCAGCTATCACCAAATAGGTGTCTGAATGTGATGTGGGAGAAAGGGAGGGAGAGGGCAGCAATGTCACTGTCGTGACTGAACCTCAGTGCAGAGGGTGCCTTGGATGACTCTAAATGTGGATGAGTTGGTCCTTCAGTTTGGGGAAAGAAGTATGGAGACCTCTCCCAACCCCAAGACAAAATGCTGATTTGGATAAGAGGAGGCTTATTTCCGCCTTTGAGCGGCTTAGAGTTAATATTGTAGCATCTCAGGAGTTCTGGGTGTCATCCAAAGAACAGTAAGAGAGTATTCTCTGGCCCCAAATTGGAAACTGCTGTACAGAATTTGGGGCAAAGCGGCAAAAGTTTGTCTTCCTTTTTAAAATATTGTGTTTGTTTTTGTATACATAGCACACACAAAATTTAAAGAGCCAGATGGCCAAGACATTTAAAGACTCCTTATTCCCTTAGGCCCTCTTTCTTTTCACCCAATTTTCTATTCTGCAAAGCACCAACTTCCGTTGTATTGGCTGATTGGTTTGCTACCGATCACCATTTTTTAATACCTTGCTCAAATCACTATATCCTGATATTTCAGTTGTAGGCATTATCCACTGACCTCTGAGAATTTAGCTTTTTCCCACCTCAACTCCAATCTAACATTCATATCCATACCTTTTCCTATTGCCCCACCCTCCCAATATAATTCTACCATCACATTGGTTAGACAGTTATCTATGTTTACTTTATTATAAACAGATGAGTGCTATTCACAGCTAAGCCATGTACTATATTGTGATTGTGGTTACTTTTCCTTTTCTGCAATGTTTCCTTTTACTGTAGCTAATAATGGTCTTTGGAGGCTTCTGAAGTGTTGCATTGTCAGCTGTGTGGACGTCTCTGCCTCTGTATCCTGGGAAGTCCCTTCATTTAGTATTCAGGTTAGATCCCCATTCTTGCATCCCATGTCTTCCTCCCTCTTGGTTTATCCCTTTTTGTTGGTAGAAGAATCTTCTAACAGCTTTCAGAGGAAGGATATATAGGAGCACAATTTTTGAGACCTAATGTTTACTCCTATGCTCAATTAATAGTTTGGCTGGGTATAGAATTCCAGATTAGAAATCATTTTTTCTCAGAATTTTGGAAGCATCTCTCCATTGTGTTCCATTGCTCCTGAGAAGTCAATAGCATTCAGATCCTTCATCCTTCAAATTGAACCTGGTCTTTTCTTATCTAGAAAGTCTTTTTCAGCAATGATCTAAAAATTCATAAGAATGCGCCTTTTGCTCTGTTTCACTTTTTATCCCTTATGCTAGACTGTCAATAAACTCTTTCAATCTGGAAATTTATGCCCTTCAGGGAAATCCCCCTGGCCTTTCTCCCACCCTTTCTCTAAAATCAATAAACATATCCTTGGGTGAGGAAATAAA